AAAAAACTCGTTAACTCAGTTATTTTTATTATCAAGGATTTGTTAATTATCCACTGTTTCGATTCAACCAAGCTACAATGTGTTCAGCTTTTCTAAGTCCAGTATACGTGACCGGATATCCGCCTTTAAACAGTCTCAAGGCGGGGAAACCCCCAATTTCCTGTTCCCGAACTAAAGCCTTCTCTACAGTCGCATCCACTTGTCCCAATTTAATTTTTGATTGTTGCTTTTCGAGGATCTTGCACACTTTTAAGTATTCGGGGGCGAAAGCCTTGCAGTGGCTACACCACGGCAAGTAGAATTTAACCATTAAAAGCTCATGACGATTCACTGCGTCTTTGAAATTAAACTGGTTCAAAATTAAAATTCCGTCTTCGGTGGGGAATTCATCTTTTTTACCACCACCAAGAAAGGAAAACGTCGAAGTGATTAAACCAAAAGCCGAAACAAAAGGGTGCAACATTTTGGGAGAAACTAATAATTTTATGAAACGTTCAAATTTCAAGTCAAATGTCATCTAATTTAAATTTAGCGCTATCAAAATACCAACATAAAAAACACAAAAGATGATTGATCAAAAAATATTGCGATAAAGTGTAAAAGCAATCGTTTTTGTACTTAAATTGTGCAATTTTGTTTAACAATTTTGAATGTAAAAAAATGTTCCAGGTCTCAGATAATTATTTTTCAAGTTTAAAATTCGCGGCGTTAAATGTCAATTCAAATGTCAAAAAAATTGGTTAGGTTTCCCCAATTTGAAAATTTGTTTAATWACATTTAATAATTATCTAAGTTGTAACAGTTGTAATAATGAATATCCTCGACACGGTGTTGTGTACATCCAAGGCTGAAAAATATTCAAGCAATTTTAAACATTTGGGCATTGATGCTTTCACCCTAAAGTTGCTTAATGAAGAAGATTTAGAAATTTTGGGTGTTGAGGAGGAGGAAATCCGATTATCGATTCTAAAACATGCAAACAATTTACAAATACCTGCTGAGTATTTACCAAACCAATAATTCCAACATTTTTAATAAWTTTTTTTTCAGAAAACCTARCCAGATTTTGGTTGATAATAAATACATTCAATTAGTTTTAGCACAAATGTCGATGCATTTAACAAAACATTTAGCTGCACTGTCGATTGCAGTGAACAGAAAGGACACAATCGTGTGTAATGTTAAGTTGAGACAAGCTTCAAATTGTCTTAAAAAGTGTGTAGAATCTCTTGAGAAACAATTAAATGAGGTTGAGCAAAAGGTAGTTGTTGCAAATTGCTTGATTCATAAATTAAACCTCATTGTTGCAGGTTGTTCTCAAAGACAACAAGAAAAAACACCAAGTTATCATTCCCCTTATTGTAATTCCATGCCTGGTTTTTTTATCTTTCAAAACTTGTAATTTTTTTCTAAAACATGTAAATTAAGATGAATAAAGTATAATTTAAATTTAGCGCCACCCTTAATACCAACATAAAAAACGCATGACAAGAGTAAATATTGGAATAGGTGGAAAAACAATCGTTTTTGTGCTAAATCGGCAAATGAAAACAAAAAATGTTTGAGGTTGTGAACACTCTGTGCTAAAATATGTAATTAGTCAAGTGATTTTATAAATAAAACGTCAGAAAAAAGTTTTCAAGTTTAAAATTCGCGCGGGGTAAATGTCAAACAAGTGTCAAAAAATCAGTCATTTGCACTTAACCTCACTTTTTATTTTCAATTTCGCGAAAAATCTTAATAACAGGATGACTTTAGTTTGTGTGAACTTGAAACAAATTCTCCAGCACACAAAAAACATTTTTGGGGGTGAGTTTTACAAAATCAGTATTTCTAAAGTAGCCCCATTTTAGTTTCCATTAGGGCTGCGAGTAAGAAAACTGGGGGCAGTACGCAAAACACACACACCAAAGTGCGCCCCAAACATCGTGGATGGAAAGTCCAAGACGGCCATAGGGTTGAAGCAGGTTCCATTTTGGCCACTCAAAGACACTTACGTTTTCATCCCGGATTAAATGTATTAACAATTTTTTTTAATTTTATTTAATTATACAATTTTTAGGTTGGTTTTGGTCGTAATGGGACTTTGTTTGCCATGGTGCCAGGTCGCGTTTTGGTCACATGTGAGAAAGTTGACCTCAATTGGACTCATACTTGGGTCCAGAGGTGTCACGGCTTCAGACAAGAAAAGGAGTTTTTTAAGAAATATTTTAACATTTTGCCAGACAAACAACATCAAAATTTCAAACTAATTGATCAATTGTAGTAAAAAATAAAGTCCTAGGCATCTATCCAGTTTATTGTTATGTAAGAAATTTTTTCGTTTTTGGAGGTTGCCAAAACTGCTCGTTTTTTGACAGCTGTTGCCAACCGTCCAAAAGCCACAATTTCGCTCGAGTGTAATACTTCGTCAGGGTTGCCAACACAGTGGACTATAAAAATAGCATGATACGCGATTGGGTCTCCTGAAAATGATCTAATTTCATTTGTTCATTTCAATATTTTTTTGTACCCAAATAAACTAGAAAATCTGCACCAAATTTGACACCTGTCGTGATGTAATATCCCTGTTCCCACAAATCTCTAAAAACGTTGTATTTTAACTCATTTGTGCTTTTGCAAATTTCGTCCCTTGAAACTTCAGTCTCATTTTCCATACTCAGAGGTGTGAGAAATGTTGGCCAAATCATAATATCTCGAGTGATTTTACAAGATTTTTCAAGTTCTTCAATGAAGATTTCCTCTGGTGGTCTCGAATCACCACGTTTTCTTTTAGCTGCGACAATATCACCCATCATGCTTTCCAACTGTCTTTTCCTATTGTTCTTATACTTAATTTTTTCTTCTTCCAACAAGTCATTTTCGAATTTCTCAAACTTTTCCCTCATTTCCGATGTTATATTAAACTGGCAGTCGACTAATTTAGCTAATTTTTTATCTAACAAGAGTAAAACTTCCTCAGGTAGGAGTTTTAAAGGTAGTGCTAAAAAAACATTTCATGACAAAAATAAAACAATTTTTAAGTAATACTTTGCACTGTGTTTGTATTTCCAATGAGAGTACCTAGAATTCGATGTGTTTTTCGAAGTTTTGCCCAATCTAAAAGACACAAAAAGGGGGCTTGCGTGACATAACCTCAATAATTGTTTACCATCTGCGTCATATATTAAGACACTCCCTTGGCTATAATGCAATTTAATCATGCTTTAAATAACTATAATCACTGAATAAAGGAAAAAAAAGTGGTTTATTGGTTATTCGGTTAACAATAAAAGTGTGAAAAGGCCTTTAGATAGCAATAAAATTTGAAATTTCACTAGATGTGGTGATTTTCATGCTGCTCTGTTGATTTTTGTAAATGAAAAAAATTAATACACTAATAAAAAATTACCAAATAGACCAAATAGTTCTATTTGTTTTTTTACGAGATTTTACTAGACATGGTTGAAAATGATTATTTTTTTTGTTTTTTTCGCTAAATTATTTCGCTAAATTGACAAAAATGGCGTTATTTTTGCCATTTTTGAGTATTTAAGCCCGTTTTTGAAATAAAAACAATAAAAATTAAAAAATTTAGTGTAAAACAAGTTAAAAATACCAAAATTAAATCGAAATTAATATCATTTTCAAGCTTGTTTTGCTTATTTAATTTACAAAATGTTGTCCAAACTCGTCTAAAATCACAAAAGGAATCGATATTGATGTTATTTCGTTCGTTTCACTCGTTTTTGAGCAAAAGACAAAAATAAATCGAGAAACCCCAAAAATTGGTCGAAAAATGCTTTTAAGCACGCTTTTACACTAAAATCTAAGGTTTTTCGCGAGATTTTGCTAAAACAAACCAAAAAACTAACAAATTGAGTCTAAAGTAATATTATTTTTTCATTTTTCGGGTGTTTTACAGCGAGAAACACAATAATTTTGCTAAAAATCATGGCATTTGCCCTGAAAACTGGCTAAAAACCCCGTTTTTTCCCAAACAGAGTAAAAAATCACTAAATTGTTATAAAAATCATTGTAAATAGGATTATTTTATCTAACAACTCGCAATCGGTGAATTTTATTTTTTTAAGATGGCGACATTGATTACGTGTCAAATGTCACTAATACAGTAATTTTTAAATTGTGGCTATAAAGTAAATTAGGTTAATTAATTAATAATAGAACGTTTTCGAGCATTTTCCACGTTTTCAAATTTTCTCAATAAAATCAAAAATTACTAAATAGMTTAAAAATAGTTCTGTTTGTTTTTTTTACGAGATTTTACTAGACATGATTGAAAATGACTATTTTTTTGTCTTTTTCGAATATTTTTTTCAGCTAGAAACAATTATTTCGCTAGATTGACAAAAAAATTAAGCCCGTTTGTGAGAAACAAAATTTTGTATAAACAAGCTAAAAACATCAAAATTAAATCGAAATTAATATTATTTTGTATTTGATATTGATGTTATTTCGTTCTTTTCACTCGTTTTTGAGCAAAAATAAGACAAAAATAAATCGAGAAACCCCAAAAATTGGTTAAAAAATGCTTTTGAGCACGTTTTATTAGATTTTTCGCAAGGCCTGAAAACACTAAATTGTTATAAAAAAGGAACATTTTATCTAGCTATTTATTTTTTTAAGTTGGCGACATTACGTGTCAAATGTCACCAAATGTCAAATTTGACATTAAAGCCCACTTTACATATTTATTGTGTACAAAACTGATTTTCCATAAAATAAAATCAATAAAATTAAATATCCCATCCCATGGATCTCTCAATCGCCATCTTCCACTTGGCATACCTAACATCTCTTTCATTCTCGCTATATCTGGGAGTCCACTTGTAGGCYGGAATGTCRAAGGGGGCKCCTTCAATGTCCCAACAYCCYACCGCAGCCCCGGCCACCATGGCAGCCCCCAAAGCCGTACTTTCAGCCACACTGGATTTCATGACAGGGATCCCTGCCAAGTCGGCTTGAAGTTGCATCAAAAGAGAATTCGCTGTCATTCCACCATCAACCTAAAAAAWTGAAACTCAAAAAATCCCTAYAAAAATCCCCAGATTATCTCACTTTTAAGTGTGTRAGAGGTGCCCCATAGTCCTTATTCATGGCTTCTAGAATGTCCCTAGTTTGGAAACAAACCGCATCCAAGGTGGCTCTCACAATATGGTTAGCGTTGGTGTCTTCGGTGATTCCCACGATGGTTCTAGAAAAAAATCGTCAAAATTGGGACTAACAGGGGAAAAACCGAACCCTCTAGCGTCCTGTTGCCAGTAGGGGGCGTACAAGCCGCTGAAAGCAGGGACGAAGTACACTTCACCGCTTTCGATAAGTTCGGCCTTTTCTGCCAAGCTTTGGGCCTCTCCGAAAGTGGGCAAAATGGCCAAGTTGTCTCGGAGCCAGTTCAAGGCAGCCCCCGCCACGGCCACTGACCCTTCAAGGGCGTAAGTGGCCGGTCGGGAGGGCCCCAATTGGTACGCCACTGTGGTTATTAAGCCATGAGCGCTGTCCACTTTCGCTTTGCCTGTGTTGTACAACAGGAAGCAGCCGGTGCCATAAGTGGCCTTGGCCTAGAGAATAATTTGTTAATTTTCAGTCAAAAATGTTAAAATACGAGGGTGCTTTGTACTGTTTTTTCTTTTTTGCGTTTTTCTTCTGTTCTTAGAYAAAAAAAGAAATTTTTTAATTTAGGGAATTTTGCGTCGGTTAGTGACATTTTTGTCATATTATTAATTCTTAGGATTTTTTCATGTCCGCTATCGAAAATTCGGGAAACTAATATTAAATGCGGCGTTGCCAGCTCAAAAAATCAAATTCAAAAAGTTATCTTTACACCAATATTTTTTTTAAGCTAGAAACACAATTATTTCGCTAAATTGACAAAAAATGGTGTTATTTTTGCCATTTTCGAGTATTTAAGCACGTTTTTAAGATAAAAACAAAAAAAAAAAATCGAAAAATGTACAAACCGGATAAAAAATTACAAAATTAAATCGAAATTAATGCGTTTATTTTACAAAATCTTCTCCAAACACGCCTAAAAATCACAAAAAGAATTGTTATTGATGTTATTTTGTTTGTTTCACTCGTTTTAGCTGGTTTTTGAGCAAAAATAAATAAAAAAACCGCAAAAATTGGTCGAAAATGTGGTCTTGCCAGCTCAAAAAATCAAATTTATGAAGTTATCAAATTTACGCCAATTTCACCAGATATCTTGTAATCTGGTTTAAATCTTTCCAAAATTTACGTTTTTTTTACATATTCTGAGTGCTTGACGCCTAAAAGTTAGGTAAAAATATAATATAATCTTTTTTATATAAGAATTTAGTGATTTTTGACTCCCTATGAAAAAATCTCGATGATTAGCAGTTTTTATACGCAATAAATGAGACATGTGAAGCGGGCTTTAATGTCAAATTGTCTTTTCAAAACGTCAAATTGACATTTCACACTTAATGTTGTCAACTTAAAAACAATAAAATTCACCAAATTCGCGTTAAGTAAAAATGTAGGGTAACTGTAAATGATTGATTTTTTATTGTCAAATTTAAAATTTCAGTTGGCAACCTTGACTTTCAAACTTTTATAGGCAATTGTCATTTATTTGCGACGGGCGACTACTGATTTAGCCGTCACCTGAAACATTCTGATGTGAGAAAGAAGTATCACTAATAATTCAGTGTTACCAATAGATTTTTTGACACAAACAATAACAGTCACCCGGTATAATAAATATAACTTTTTTTATAACAATTTGTAAAATAATTGCGTTTCTAGCTAAAAAACGTGTTAAAATACTCAAGAAATGCAAAAATTATGTAATTTTTTTTAGTAGAAAAACGTGCTTTAGAAGATTTTCCACAAAATTTGAAGTTTCTCGGCCTGTTTTTGTCTTAATTTTGCTCAAAAACTAGTTAAATCAAGTGTAACAAACAAAATAACATCATTATCTATTCTTTTTGTGATTTTTAAGCGTGTTTGGCCAAAATTTTGCAAATTAAATGAACTTTTGGTTTAAAAACAAAGTAATTCGAGCGAAACAAGGTAAAAATAATATTAATTTTTCTTTTTTTAACCTGTTTAAACAAAAGTTTTGTTTTTTTTCTCAAAAACGTGCTTAAACACTCGAAAAAGGAAAAATAATGTCATTTTTGGTCAATTTTGACAAATTTCCGGCTAGTTTTTGAAGAAATTGAGCAAAATAATTGTATTTCTAGCTGAAAAAATATTCGAAAAATACTAAAATTCCGTAAAAAATGAATAGAATTATGTACTTTTAACCAATTTGGTGCTTTTTCGTTTTTTTTTTTTTTGAGAAAACCTGGCGAAATATTCAAGTTTCTCGTTGAAAAATGTAGAAAATGCTCGAAAACGTTGTATAGTTCAAAATGATTGACATCTCGGTAGGTCATGAAAATTCAAATTTAAGATGGCAACATTGGTATTTTCACAGTTCTAGGTTGTTTATTTTTGTGCGATTGCAGCCACTGGTTGAAGATACAATTTTTTTGTTACAATTGTTTTTAAGAGGTTTTTGTGCATTTTCTCTCCCATTATTCTGTCTGTTCGACGTTTCTTCAATATTCACCAAAACCATAATCAAGTATCAAGTAACCATAAGTAAGTTTTACCTGACAGAATTAACGAAATGTCATTTTTCCTGAAGTATCATGATCTAAAGAATGTTCACACTAGTAACTTTTTGAAACGTTCTATATCATTTTTTTAAATTTACAAAAAAATCACCAAACTAGCAAGAAAATCACTAGATGTGGTGAAATTTCACCAGGGACATCAACACTGTCAGTGACATTAATAAGATTTGAAGGTCGTTTCACACTTAATGTTAACCAAATAACCTCGCTGTTAATTTTATTTTTTTTTCATTAGGGGTTTAAGTATTATTTATATTTTTCTTACATATACTCATAAAATGATAAATAGATTTGTTTTATTCATTGCTCTTATTTATTTCGCCATGACACACCTTTGTTCATGTGTCACAAATAAAAAGTTACAACAGCAGTTTTTTTTCATTTGCAAAAAAAATCACCAAAAATCACCGGACTCAAAAACTGAGTTGTTTATAAATATCACCAGATCTGGCAACACTGCAAAACAAAAAAACCCTAGTTTTCCGACTTACTTGTCCCCTGTCGAGGCACTGTTGTCCCACAAGCGCGGCCTGTTGGTCCCCCAAACACCCCGCAATGGGGACATTTAGTAACGCCCCCTCCTTGACCCTCCCATACACCTCAGAACTGGACTTAATCCCAGGCAAAATCGAATTGGGCAATTCGAAAAAATTCAAAAGGACTGGATCCCACTTCAATGTGTCAATATTCATAAGCATTGTCCTTGAAGCATTACTAACATCAGTGACATGAACGCCCCCATCCTTGCCCCCGGTGAGGTTCCAAATCAGCCACGAGTCCACAGTCCCAAAGAGGCAATTCTTCGCCCCCATGGCCTTTTTCACTTTGGGGACATTGTCTTGGAGCCATTTCAGCTTCACGGCGCTGAAATAGGGCGACATTGGGAGCCCACAAAGGGGCTTCAGGTAGTTCTTGTTCCTGGTTTTATTGGGGACCTTGTCGAGGAGTTGGTCAACGGTGCTCGAAGTCCTCACATCTAACCACACTATTGAGTTGTATAAAGGCTCCCCCGTGGTCTTGTCCCAAACTATCGTGGATTCCCTCTGGTTGGTGACCCCCACGCTGACGATGTCGTCCACGGAGCCCCCCAAAGCGATCAGTTTGTCGATTGTGGTCTCGATGCACACTTTCACCACGTCGAGGATCTCCATGGGGTCCTGCTCCACCCAGCCCTCCTGGGGGTAAATCTGGGACAACTCCTTCTGGTGGGAGGCCACCACTTGGGCTGTTCCGGCCTTGAAAAGGATGAATCTTGCACTGGATGTGCCCTCGTCGATGGCGCCCACCAAAGGGCCCGTTTTGCTGCTGGGGGACATGGTGTGGGGCTTCTCACAGCTTAACCTCACTTTGACTTGGCTCAAATCTGTTATCTAACATTTTTGACCTTTGGTCGAGTGTAATTAGTGTCAATTATTAAGCGGTGTAAACACGACATTTGTGGGTAAATTGAGGTAAATTAAAGGGAAAAAAACWGGGGAAAATTATGGGYGCCAAGGTCGATGATGTTTTGATTACATGGAAATTGGAATCCTTTTTTTATAAGTTTTTATCGTTGATTATTATTTAATTTAATATAAAAAGTTGMYATAAAMTGTAGAYCTCGGGAWCTTGGAGAAGGACCAATTTGAGCAGTGGCGTAGCATAAGAAGTATTCTGCGGTAAAAAGGGGATTTTAGAGTTGCAGTTTTTTTATTAATTTTTTTTCCATTCTATGACTGTTATCTTAGGCTCAGTCCTACAAAAAAATTAAACCCATAACAAAAAGTAAAAATAATAAAAAGAAAATTTTTGCATCTTTAAAGAAAAAAATACAAACATTCGACCAAATTTTGTGGTTTCTCATTTTGTGTTTATTTTAATTTTGCTCAAAAATCAGTTAAATCGGGTGWAACAAACAAAATATTATCATTATCTACTCGTATTTAGTTTGGACAAGATTTTGCAAAATAAATGAACTTCAGTGATTGAAAAACAAAGTAAGTCGAGCAAAACAAACTAAAAATAATATCAATTTCTATGTAATTTTGCATTTTTTTGACCTGTTTAAACGAAATTTTTGTTTTTTATCTCAAAAACGTGATTAAATACTCGAAAAAGGCAAAACTAAGTCATTTTTGGCTAGTTTTTTGACTACATTTAGCAAAATAATTGTTTCTAGTTGAAAAAATATTCGAAATAAACAAAAATTAATTGACATTTTTTATCCTCTTTAGTAAAATCTCATAAAAAATAAATAGAACCATGTACTTTTAACTAATTTGGTGGTTTTTCAATTTTTTTGGGGCTAATTTGGCGAAATAATCAAGTTTTTGGTTGATTTACTATACCAATAATTGAAAAATTTGTGTATTATTTAAAAAAAAATAAAAATTAAAGAGAAAAAATGTAAAAATCTGAAATATAAAAAGTTGGAATAAATTGTAGAGCTCAGGACCTTGGAGAAGGACCAATTTAGAGTTGCAGTTTTTTTTATTAATTTTTCTTCCATATATTCAATCTTAGGCTCAGTTCTATAAAAAAATTAAACCCATAACAACAATTCTAGTATTCCAGAAAAAGTAAAAAATAATAAAAAGAAAATTTTTACATCTTGAAAGAAAAAAAAACAAACATTACAGTGTTGAAACGTTTTTTTAGTGTATTGCTGTCGAAAAGCTAAAAACGAAAAAGTTTGTTAAAAGTTAAATAACTTGAAAAATTTAAATGAAACATCCCATTTTTTGTTTTTGCATGTAATAGATTATAAAATTCGACCAAATTTTGTGGTTTCTCGCCTTGTTTTTGTTTTAATTTTGCTCAAAAATCAGTTAAAACGAGTGCAAAATAAATGAGCTTCAGTGATTCAAAAACGAAGTAAGTCGAGCAAAATAAACTAAAAATAATATCAATTTCTATGTAATTTTGAAATTTTTTAACCTGTTTAAACGAATTCTTCGGTTTTTTTTGGTTTTTCAATCTCAAAAACGTGATTAAATACTCGAAAAAGGCAAAAATAACGTCACTTTTGGTAAATTTTGTCGAATTTTTGACTAAATTTAGCAAAATAATTGTTTCTAGTTGAAAAAATATTCGAAAAAACAAAAATTAATTGACATTTTTGATCCTGTTTAGTAAAATCTCATAAAAAATAAACAGAACCGTGTACTTTTAACTAATTTGGTGGTTTTTCGATTTTTTGGGGCAAATTTGGCGAAATAATCAAGTTTTTGGTTGAAAAACGTGGAAAATGCTCGTTTTTTGGACTATCACTTGTAGTTTTTCCGGACTGTTTTTTTTTTGATAGAAAATAAGAGATTTGCATTTAGCGTCATAGAAAAATCAAAAAAATCTATTTCACGAAAAAGAAAACTCATGTTTCTTATGTCGCTGCGCCACCACGTCCACGGCCAGTGTCTCTGCCCTAAATCATAAATTTTTATTCACTTTTCTGAGTCTATTAGATGCTTTAGAAGGGCCTTTAGATTAATTTTTGAAGTTTTTAATTGAATGAAAAAAATAGTATTTCATTAAAAAAAACAACTTTGTATTGTTGCTTATTTTTAACACTTTGTAGCTGAAAATTTCTTATCTAACATTCTTAGTGTTATTTACTCACCTATATATTTCTTTACTCTTGTTAAATGTAAACACTGATAACAATTTAAGCCAAACTTCTTCATTGTTCAAGTGATTCAGTTTACAGTGGATGTTAAAATTTCTCATTTGTTAAAATGAAAACTACTAAATTTGTGCGTTTCGTTATTTTCATATTGGGTAATCAACTAATAAATTTGTGTTTTTATCCAATCAAAAATTTTAGTTCTACTTTTGGCTATATCACAGGAAGCTGAAGGTCGGAGAAAAATCCTAAAAGGGCGAAAAGCTGTGACAAGGACGTACTACAGTAAGTGAAAAAAAATTCCTCGCAACGGGGAATAAAGTGGCGTTTTATTCCCTTGGGATTTTTGCTCTTAAAATGCAAAAACAAATTTARGTCTCTTTGGAGAAAATTTTGAACATCTTTGACCCCTGGAATGAAAACGCCCTCGGCTCTCTTCGGTCACCTCTGGCGTTARCTACATTCCCGGGATTAAAATATTTGTTTTTTCCCTTGATACTAAATAACTAATAATTTTTTACAGGATATCCAGCGATTCCAGCATGGGCTATTGTATTATTAGTTGGACTTGGGGAATTAATTGTTGGAGGGATTTTATTCGTAATTTTGTACTTTTTGGTGGTGGATCAAGCCCTTAAACCCCGCTATATGCGTGCTCTAAGTTCACCACGATCAACAACACCAACACCGTGATTTTTTAACACTGTTGTAGTTTTTACTGTAATAAATTAGAATAAAAACCTGTTTCGTTGATTTTTTCTGTGAAATTCTAGTTATCATTGATAAGATAAAATCAAGATAAAACAACTGTATTTGTGGAGGTATTGCAGTGAACGGTGCAAAAAATATCGCCATGGCGTTTTTCAAAATTTCAAAATCGTTTTTTGTAATTCTGGGTGAGTAATTTGTTTTGGAAAGAAAAATTCTAAAATGCAAATTTGTTTAGTCCTTGCGGTGATAATATCTCAGCAAGTTGAAGCTAGAAGGACAATTCTTAAAGGACGAAAATCTTTGACCAGGACATATTTGCGTAAGTAGCTTGTTAATTTATTAGAATTGAAAATATTCCCGATTTTACGATTTTTTTTTTTGAAAAATGAGTCACAAGTATGAATCATCGCCGCGCCTATTTTAGAAACATCAACGCAACTGCGTAAAATTATCAATAATCTGTTTGCTTATCAGGAAAAATACTTTGTTAGGTTTATCTGTGTTTCAAAAAATTCGATTTTTCTCAAACTTGTGTTTTATGCACTTTTTTAAGTCTTTAGGACCTCTAGAAATGTAAAAAACGTTAAATGGATCAATTTTAAAGTTGATTTTTTTTTTTGATTTTTGTCGAGATTTTGGTCGATTTAAAAAATATTCGAAATACGGGGTGATTTTTTAAAAACGCCAGAAGCTGTAGAATTTTTATTTATGATCCAATTTCAAAAATAAAAAAAATATCAAATGGCTTTTAATTTAGTACAAGTTGACGATTTTAGATTTTTTTCCAAATGTTAGAGTTTATTTTGGTCTATATCCAAATTTCTTATTTTAAATTGGGACCCGTATATTTTTTTTTTAAATTTGGAAGGAATTAGTTTTATTTGGTACAGACATATGCAATATGTTATTTTACAAAAAAATATTGTTTAAAAAAATTATCAAATTTCCTATCATATTTAAAAAAGATCATTGTCCTACGATAAGTAGTTATCGAGGAAATTTCTGGCAAAGTAAAAAATATTCGAAATACAGGGTGATTTTTAAAAAACGCTAGAAGCTGTAGAATTTTTATTTAACGTCCAATTTCAAAAATCAAAAAAAAAATTAAATGGCTTTTAATTTAGTACAAGTTGACGATTTTAATTTTTTTTCCAAATGTCAGAATTTATTTTGGGCTATATCCAACTTTCTTATTTTAAATTGGGACCCATATTTTTTATAATTTTGAAGGAATTAGTTTTTTTGGTACAGACATGTGC